CTCTCCGGAGCGCAGGTGTTTCAACCTGCGTCTCGTGTTCCTTCTGACGGCGCTGAGGGTGGACATCCGGCAGCAGCTAGCCCAAGAGCTCAGGGGCATTAGCCTGATGACAGATACCCTGGAGCTGACCCTTGGTGTCAAGTGGATGGACCCCTACGAAGTTGCCACCGAGGAGGGACTTCTCCCACCTTTGCCTCGGCAGGAGACGGAGCGAGCCATGGAGATCCTGAAAGTGCTCTTCAATATCACCTTTGATTCCAGCAAGAGGGAGGTGGACGAGGTAAGCTCCTTGGGTGTCCCACCCCACTGCATTCGCGTGTCTCCGGGCTGTGGCTTGACTACGGGCTTTCCTCTCCACTTGCGTTTCCTCGTATTACATACTGGCCCTCATGCAGCCCCCGGGAACGTGTAAGGGTAGCAAGAGACTCGTGTGTCCGGACCTTCCTCCCTAGAGCACTGCCTCTATCCAATGCATCATTAACCCTTGAGACTTTTAGAGCATTAAAATTGAAAAGTTGCGCATTTTTCCTTCTTAATGACACGATTTGTTGCGCAAGTGGGAGAGCGGAGCCCCCAGATAACTCGCTTCTGAGCGTGCCCTGGTACTCTTTCAGCTTCTGGGCAAGGTCAAAGGAAGGTGTGATGGAGAACATCTCTGGCTAATCCATGGGCCTGTTTTGGGGCCTCTTCCAGCCCTTGACTCAGTGTCGTAGAGTGAGGGGAAAGGTATCGGGCAGCAGGAAGACTGTGTGTTGACTTCAAAAGGAGAATTGGGAGGCTACCTCCACTCACGCACCCTGCTGCCAGTTATCAGGCTGCCGGAGGGCGGGATGGGGCTGTGGGCTGCAGGGGCAGCAGGCTCTGGGGCGCGGAGGATCCCTTTTGCTGATCAAGGTTTTCGTTTTCTGTTTTGGGGCCAGGAAGATGCTGCGTTGTACCGGCACTTGGGTGCCCTCCTGCGCCACTGCCTCATGATCTCTGCTGATGGAGAGGACCGGACAGAGGAGTTCCACAGGTCTTTGTTAGATAACTTGGTCGTGATCTTCACTAGAAATGGGTGTCCTCAAGGCAGATCCTGCCTGACCTTGGCATTAACGTCCTCTGCTTGTTTGGCGATTGCTAAGGTCACTGCTGACAAGCGGGTGTCTTTGGTTTGGCCTGCAGGTTCCTCATGCTGCTAGAACTCGGAGATAGCCCTGCCCTTCCCACAGTCAGATTACGTGCGCTAATGCCACAGCCTCCAGGGCTGCAGGAGGAAACGTTTTCTCCAGGCCTGCCTGACCCCAAGGGCCGTATCAACATCCTGCATCCATCAACCTCCCCAGCAGTGCCACCCGCTTCAGTGGGCAACTTGCCAGAGCAGATGTTTGGTACTTTTTAATTAAAGAGTCCATGGGCTGGCCTTAATTAACTGTCTGTCTCTTGAGCCGGGCTGAGAAATTGCCTGTGTCGCACTGCTGAGCGTTATTGGTCCAGGGGTGTCGGCTTTGAGCAGAGGACACCGTCCTGCACCCAAGAAAACGACAGTCAGAGGAATCCTAGGGAATGCATTGCATTGACCATCAGGGTGAGAATGAGCGATGCAGCAGGAGACCGTAGAGCCAGACCTTTGGCTGCCCAGATTGGTCCTTCTTGGCCTCTGTGTCAAGATCGATGGTTTCTCAGTTGTCGCTGAAGTCTCTTTGGACTCCCAGCAAATAGTTCAACTACTCAAAAAGCAGTTTAATTTATTCCCTTTTAGTGGTGTGGGGAGCTTGGGATGCAGCCCAAAGACAGCTTGGATATCAGGGTCCTCATGCTCCTGGAAGTTAGTGATGAACCTTCATTTCTGGATAGCTGAAGAACTTCTGTGAACAGAGATCCATGACTATGTGTTCTCTTCTCTTCTCTTTCATGTGTTCAGTCATACGGTTAACCTTTTGGGCAACCTGCCCCTGAAATGTCTGGATGTCCTCCTGACCCCGAAAGTCCGGCCAGGCTCGCTTGAGTACATGGGTGTCAACATGGATGCAGTCAGCATCCTGCTGGATTTCCTAGAGCGACGCCTTGACAGGGTAAGTTGAGAGGCTGCCGTGTGAGTTCGTCACTGCTCGTTTTCACAAGTTCACTGCAGGGCACCTTTCCTTCAGCCTGTATTCATCCTTGAAAAGCCCAGTGCCAACACCACAGGAGCACCAGCAGGGCATGGTTCATTCGGAGATGTCCCTTTATGGAAGGGACAGTTTTGAGCAGAGGCCAAACTGTTATGGTTGGCAGGACTAAAACAACATCTGTCGACTGGGAGGGTAACTGCATCATTGCTTTATGGACTGCAGGTAGTGAGATCGGTTGAACAGTAGATGATTAGCTGGGCGATTGAAATATCGGTGCTCTGTTTCCCTCAATAGCGATCTGATGGGCAGCTTCTGGAAGCCTGAATTTGCATTCTTTTCAAGCTGGCTGTGGTTTTCAGTCTCCGGAGTTATTCCAAAGGGCCGCCAAATTTTACTGCAGCACTTCTCTACTCCGGATGCCCTGCACAAATGTTTCTAGCAGTGCCGTGCCACAGGAGTGGCATCACTCCTGCTTGAGGAGTGACGAAGCACTGAGATTCCTGCAGCAGAAGCTGGAAAGCTTTGATGTCCGTCTGTTTCCCTGATGGTCTGTACGCATGTTCGCCACCACAAGCCAGACAGGTTGAGCTCAGTGTGACTAACGTGGCGTTCGTTTTGTGGACGCTTCTGCAGGGCCACAAGCTGAAGGAGAGTTTGACTCCTGTGCTGAACCTGCTGACTGAGAGCGCTCGAGTCCACCGCCAGACGAGGAAGTTCCTGAAGGCGAAGGTATGCTGTAGCTCAGCAGAAGTTGAATGATGCTGCGCTGAGGAGAGAGGAGAATAGCAAACACCTGATTATTGTCATCCTCCGAACAGACCTCCTCTCTCTCGGCTAGGTTCTGATATGAGTGGTTGAGGCCTTTGGTACCCGCAGTGTTTTTTCCACATCTCCCACGCTCTGTGGATTTATTTGTTTTAACCGATTTGTAAAACGCATGTACATTTTCCCCTGTCTGACCTGCCGTTGCTGTTCCAGCTCCACTGATCACCCCTCACTGTGGCCTCGTAGGTGCTGCCGCCGCTCCGGGACGTGAGGAATCGGCCGGAGGTGGGGAACTCGCTGCGGAACAAGCTGGTGCGTTTGATGACCCACATCGACACGGACGTGAAGCACTGCGCGGCAGAGTTCCTCTTCGTGCTCTGCAAGGAGAGCGGTGAGTTGCAGGGGCTTGTCGTGGGCTTTGGTGACAGGGAGTCCTGGAGCCTGGCCTCTGGGCAAGCCAGGGAGAGTGGGACGGGTGACCCTTTGCAGCCAACAGGAGCTTCTCTCTTCCCTTGGGCCAGATACCCTGAGTAGGGAAAAGTGGAGAGTATCCAAGTGGTCTGTGGGAAGGAGTTGCTGTCTCATGCCAGCAGTGAGCGAAAAGCTCTGCTGGAGGACACCCCAACGCCCTGCAGGCAACCCGGCCTGCATTCAGACCCCCGCCCCGTGCCATTCCTGGCGCACAGCGCGGGAGCCTTGCTCCCTCTCGCAGAGTTCAGAGAAGTGTTGGCATTTCTGGGTCTCCGTGGCCTTGCACGGATCTTGCTGTTGGGGCATGCAGGAGCAAAGAGCGCTGGAGAGGCAGGAGGGGAAGCACAGGGTGGTCTCTCTCCCCTTCTCCCGGCAGTGTCGCGGTTTGTGAAGTACACGGGTTACGGGAATGCAGCTGGGCTCCTGGCAGCACGAGGCCTCATGGCTGGTGGTCGGGAAGAGGGAGAGTACTCAGAAGATGAAGACACAGACACTGAGGAGTACAAAGAGGCAAAACCCAAGTAAAGAAGTCTGCTCCCCCTCTTCCTACACCTTCTTCCCACACCTGCGCTGTCCCTTTCTTCATCCACCTTCCTGCCATCTCCCTTGTCCTGCTCTTTCATGTGCGCGTTTCCTTCTGCATTACTTAGCAGTTTCACCCCTAGCTTTGATGTCCTGTCCCACCCTCTCCGCCTGTTCCCTGGGCGAAACGCCTCCCTGGCCGAGCTGCTCGTGGTGTGGGTGGTCATCGGGGCAGATACTGGGTCCCTGCAGCTGGGGACAGCCTCTAGAGCAAAGTGGGTTCCTTCAGCCAGAGCCCATTCTGCACCAGAGCTGTTCAGGGTGTGCTCGTGGCAGTACATCCCCCTCTAATCCATATCTTGCACCTTTTTTGGCATCCGCACGTCTCAGTACAGTGACAGGCTTTTCCTGTGTGCTGGGATAAGGGTGGTCCCTCCTGGCAGCGGGTTTGCAAGTGCCAATTACTCCTCTCCATCTCCAGAGCCCTGTGCTGCTGGAGTGAGCTGGCTGCTGCTTTTTCTTTTTCTTTTTTTTGTTTTCTTTGCCTGCTAGTGGGTGGTGGTAACTCGAGGATGAGGGTGTGCAGGGAGCGCTGCAGGACTGTGCTCAGCTGAGGGTCCCATACTTTCTAGCATCCTGGTCAATGTGGTCTCCAGGCTGGGTTTGGGCTTTCCTTTTCTGTGTTAGCTTTTTGCCTCCTGACTTAAGGAGAGGGAAGGAGTGTCACCTGCCCTTGTGCGCCTGGTTTAAAACCGCACTGTGGAATTGGCAGGATGGGGGTGTTGTTCACACCAGAGAAATGGTAGGGATTTGTAAAGGGGGACGACTGTGCGTAGGACACAGAAAGAGGTCGGAAGCACCACGTTGCAGTGCGATAGCGCTGGGGGCTAACTATGCGCAGCAGTGACAATCAGCCATGCCACCGTGTTCCTGTGCTCAGTAGAGGCAAAGAAGGTTTTTAAGCAGCCCTTTTGTCACTCCTCTGCTTTACCTCCCTCCTTTGCCCAGCCGCACTCTTCTTTTTGCAGCATTAACCCTGTGACGGGACGCGTCGAGGAGAAACTACCCAACCCCATGGAAGGGATGACTGACGAGCAGAAGGAGTACGAAGCCATGAAGTTAGTCAACATGTTTGACAAATTGTCCAGGTACTAGAAAACTGTGTATGTTCATGTCTGCGTTACACCTGCCTGTCTGTGACTGACATTTGTCACAGAACTTTCTTTGAGCGTATTCCCAAGGCCGCCACTGACTGAAGGGATGTGAGAGAGAGAGTGGGGGAGATACGTGGGGAAATACTTCCTTAAGCTGGGCTCGGTTACCTGCAGGGGAAGGCACTGCAGGCCCCACACACCTCTTTGACATGATGGCGTACTGTGAAATTCCTCTACGTGCCTGCACTGTGTTTGCAAGCACCTTCTGCCTCACCAGGTTTGGCCTCGTGCTGCGTAAGAACAGCAGCCGCTGTCCTGGCAAGGCTGCTCCATAGGAAGCAGTGTTGTGGGGACAGATGGCAGCCAGTGCCACCAAGTCCCTCTCTCTGCAGGAGTGCTTTCTCCAGTCACCTTTCATCCGTCATTAATAGGTGCCACCGAGAAGAACCCAGACTCTGCAGCTGGGTTCAGACCACCCCAAGGGCGGGAGGGAAAAGGGCAGCGCGTTTACTGTGTGTATTTCTATCGTGCGTTAGAGGGAGAGGAGCACTGATGCCAGCGCTAGTTTTCCTCTGGGGATCCTGTAACGCACAGAACAGGACCCTAAAACTCAGCCTATTCCAGGGAACCTGAGAATGGCCACACTTGTGGACTGTGCTTCCAGCCATCGCCTCAGCGTGCTGGAGGGCTTATGGCTGGAACTGTCCCCCACGTCTAAAAAGGGATCCTTGAAGGTGGCCCAGGGTTGTTCTGGGCTGCCTTGGGCCAGTTTCCACAAGCCCCACGTTCCTGCTGTAGTACTCGTCTGTTCCTTCAGTGTCTGCTGCAAATTTGTGTTGCCTTCCCCCCCTCTCCTCCCTGGTTGCAGAGAGCAAGTCATCCAGCCCATGGGCATCACACCGAGCGGCAACCTGGCCCCCATGGAGAACACCATCCACGATATGGCTGAAGAGAGGTCGTCGTCCGACTCGGACCTGGGGCTGGACTGATCCAGACCTCTCGCCCCAGCCTCGGAGAGCTGGGGAGCCTCCGTCTGCTCTCCCTCCAGAACTGGTGCTGCACCCAGAGGCTAGTGCTGGGCCAGGACTCTCCCTGTGGGATCTGGATCCAGCCTGGACCCCTCAGTCCACAACAAGGAACACCTCCTGCCTCCTTCTCGGCTCCGTAACCACCTCTCCTTCAGAGGGTCTTCACGGCCCGGCTCCACCTTGGTCTCTCCTGTCGGCAGCCTTGAGGATTTCAGGCTCCAAATTGCTTCCAGGACTTTCCAGTAGGATTTTTTTTTTTTTTTTAATACGTGATGTTTGGGAAGGGGGGAGGGGGATCTTTCTGTCACGCCATCAGGGTTCAGTAATCTGCAGAGCATCTTGTATATGTGCCGACACTTGCGTGGCCGCTCATCGGCGCGCGCGTCGCTGTCCGTGGCTACGTGTGGCCGGCCCTGTGTGGGGGGAGCCGCTCCCCGGGACTGCAGGTGGGAAGGTGGGACTGCGGGGGCGGGGGGAGCGGTTACTCGCGGCACCTCTTGGGGAGCGGTGCCCGCGGGCTGCCTCGGCATGCTGCACCCACCTCACCCGCAGGTAGCTGTACGTGTGCGCGCTCCGTATGGCTGCGAGCGTGGTGGTGTCCGTGCAAAACTGGGGGCGTGTGGACTTACGAGTGTGTGCGTGAGCGCAGAGGGGAGCAGCGGTGCGTGCGCTGCAGGGAGGCGAGTAGAGGCTTTGGGTGAAGCTTCCAGCATTCCCATCGGCCGCAGGAGAGAAACGTGCGGGTGGCTGCCGGGAGCACTGGTGTTCAGTCTCCGGCACCGTGCAACGTTCCTGTTACCACGGAGTTTAGTTTTTGGCGTTAGCCTTTCCCCATCTCGCGCTTTCCAAATGAAAGGCCAAAATCCCTGCTTTCTGCTGCCTCCTTGGCTTTCCCACAGGTCCGCTGCTGTTTGCACCCAGGGGCTGGCGGTGGTCCTGGCCTTCGCTGTGGCTTAGATTTGTCTTTTTTTCTGTTTTCTTTAAAAAGAAAAATCAAAATTGTTTTAAAGAAAATCTTCCAGTTTGTCTCATGTACCAGAGTTCCAAAGCGCATTAGCACAAGTAGGAATGCAAAAGTGATGCTAGAATAAAGAAAACCTGACAAACGGGCGCATGGCAGTGACTCATTGAACGCGAAGGCCCTGGGCAAGTAGGGGAGCATCTGTGTGTGTCTGACTGGCACGCGGTTCTGCTCCGATCACCCTCAACTTCACAGTGTTATTTGGGAGGTAAAATTGTCGCATTAAAGTGGGGCGAAGCCAGCACCCTTCCCTGCACCACGACCGCCCAGTATAACCGAGTGGAGCGTCCCAAAGTTAAAGTAAGCGCTGAAGTTTGGGGATTGCAAAACAATCTTGGCTCGATCCCTCGGGCCTCGCAGCACGCAGTTGTTTACAGGGCTGTTGATCTCCTTTACAAATGCCCCGTAATGGTTGAAAATTGCGCACACCAGCTCTGTTTTCTGTCCCTGCAATAGGGATTTGCCGCTCAGCCTTTGCAGGACGCGAGCCAGCCTGGGTGATCCTTTGGCTGCGTGGGTCCGCTGAGGCTTCCAACTCCCTGCGGGGCAGCGGGGCTGGGGCTCCGCAGCGGGGAGGCAGCAGGGGCTGGCGGGGCTCCGCAGCGGGGCACCGTGTCTGGCTTCCACGAAATCTGGGTCTGGGGGGGCGAGCGGAGGGTTTGCAAGCGTTCCTGCCTGTGTATTTTTAGGAGTCGATGCTTGCTTTCTGAAGACCGTCCCTGTGAGGTGAAAAGCTGAAGATGTGCTCCGTTTAGTTTAGTTCTTCAGTGATTAAGAATTTTTTCAGTCGTCGTGATTAAAGTTCCGGGCTCTCCCGGGGCATGCAATATTCATGTAAAACTGACCCGCTAAGATTCACGGGTCGGCTTCTGTCATGAGAACAGCTGCAGTGTATCGCAGCTGGAGTTTTTAGGCCAACTGCATCTCCTTTTTTTTTTTTTTTTTAAGGACTAGCAAAAAAGCCCACCCCAAGCCTTCTGTGCGAAAACGCAGACCTCTCATCCCTGTAGAGCTGTTCAAGCTCTCCAAAGCTTTCCGTGCAACAGGAAAAGCGGAGGGGGTATTTCTAATGCAACGCTTCCAATATTGTTGTGTTCTAGCTTTCTGTCGCGCTTAAAGCCCTGCCTTGCAACTGGCAGGCCCTGCTTTGAAAAGCCGCGGTGCAGGGGCTGAGCTGGTGGAATCACGGCGTCGTTTAGGCTGGAACAGACCCTTAAGATCGTCAAGTCCAACCAGCCTGGCACAGGCCGCTTCTGGGGCAAGGGTTTGTAAGCAGCGTACGGTTTAAAAACAACACGTTGCCACCGTTTTCAGTGTGAAGCAACGTGCCGCGAGGCTTCGGGTGCTCTGCAAAGTGAGAGAACGGCCTTCTGCTTTCCCCGAGGCTGCGCATTCAAACGCGGTGGCCGTGAGCGGGAACGTGCCGCTACGTTTGCGCTGTGCGCTTGGATGAACGAGTCTGCGCGTCTGGACGGGGACGCGTTCAAACCTTTCCTCGAGGAAGCAGCTCGGGCACAAGTGCTGCTCTCTGCTCCCATAGCATCGGCAGCAGCTGTGCCAGGCTTCTGCGGGGTCCCTAGAGCCAGTCTGATTTAGAGCATATGAGTTTTGGGTCTAAACACTTCTAATTCGACAAACAGCCGTAGGACGGCGTTTTGAGGCTCTAGCTCTGCCCTGGGAAGAGCTTTCAGGCACAGAAGTCAGTCACGGTGTTCCAGTGTTGCGTTACAAGACACAGCTCTGCGCTCAAGGGCTTTTATTCCCTCGCTCGGGTTTTCTGGGGTTTAGCATTAACCGTAACAAATTGGTGGCACGAAATGCTTTGCTTTTGTTGTGCTGTTCAGAGCTGGTGCCGATTGGGATTGCCTCCGGAAGAGTCGCTGTGATGAACAGGTGGGTCAGCGACTGGGTGCGACTTCAGTCCCCGCAGCCCAATCTGGGTGCTGGGCTGATGAAAGCCATGCCCTGTTGCAGGGAGGAGGCTCTGCTACACCTGGGATGTGCACCGTACGTCTGCTGGGGAAGGCGCAGGATGTCGCTGCGGTGCTTGGACCGATACTGCCTCTCCCTGGGACGGCGTTTACAGGGGGAAGGCACTTGTGTAAGGTTAAAAAGAAGGAAAAAAGAAAAAAAAAAACCCATGAATTAAAAAAAGCAGGTGAAAAGAGTGGTGGTGGTGGGGACAGAATGTGTTCAAGCTCTAGGGAAGATGTGAAGCTTACAGAAGAACCCTCAGCTGACATCGGCAAAAGAATTAGAACTTTTTATTATATTAAATAATTAACACTACAGTGATTCAAAGCTCTTCCAGCAGCTTGAGCTGGCATTCCTGAACAGGAACAGGGGATGGGGCCCCTGTGGCAGGAATTGGTCCCCCATTGGCAAAGAAT